GGTTATTTGTCTGGAAAGATCCTAATTTCAAAATTATTTTTTTAAAGGATTCATTTTGGTTTAGTCAGTTCTTGGGTCCAAAATTCCTTAACATTGATTTAATTCCTGGAAATCAAATAAAACGCCAATAAACAAATAATCACCAAAACCAGTGCAGAATCATGACAGGCACTCTGTCGCTGAAAGAAGGTGACATTTGCTTTGGGAAGGGACAGAGGAAGAGAGGAAAAAATGCAAGCAAGCCCCTTTGCAAAATTACTGAATGAAATGATGAATCACTTTTCCCAGCAAACAAGCCTTGACTTAAACTCTATCATTTTTGCCAATGCTTTTTAGATACTAAGTGCAATAGCACGGTTCCCTAAGTCTCTGCTAAGGGAACAAGGCATTTCTCTCGCTCAAGTTTACATTAAAGCAGCCGCTTTCTGCGGCTTCTATCCAAGGACTTCTTTTAGACCCTACTCTTCCCTTCCCCTGACACCGGACACACGAGGCAAATACCCAGGAGTCCATGCCCTGATGCTACGAACAGACTGTGAATATGCAGAGGAAACCCATGTCGGCTATTTCAGACAGTCCTTTCACCACGCACCCTCCTACTAGTCGCATTAGAGGCATTCAGGGATTTCTCTCATGATGACACTCAGAGGTCCACTGGCCAGCTTGCAGCTTTTCCCTCTCTTCTGGTGGCCTCACATGGAGGTCATAGCCCATGTTAAACAGGGGATGGACCCTCCTAGGACAGGCTCTTGCTCAGCAATCCCTCACTCCATAAGGTAGCCCCAGGGTCCCCCAGAGATGAAGGGTGAGCAGCTGCAGGAACAGCAGTCTGTGACATTGAAGACATTCAGAAAAATTTTCAGCAACTTCACCCTCTGCCCATTTTAGCCTTTTTTTTAAAGCATAAGCACTGAAGATCAGTGACTATCCTTAACATTTATAATGGGCACCATATCAAGCGCAATGGTGGGCTAACCCTGGTGCAGGGCCAAGGCACTGCTGCACACATGGTAATCTCTCTTCCCCTCACATATACCATGTTTGAAAATATAACCAATGTTAGCAACAGTGAATTTTCTTTTTGCATCTGTATAGTATCATGCCTTATGATCAGAACAGAGTAAAATCTTTAGCCTGAACACTAATTGATGAAAAACACGTATTCAACAACAGCAATTCATTTCGTGACTTCCTCTGTTCCACTCAATTGCTTGTGTGAAGGAAAAGCACTAAACAAGGAAAGAATCTGTTCTGAACATTTTTTTAAAGGAGCATCTCAGTTTTTAAAATCTGACATAACTCTTCAAGGAGAATTTCCCTTTGACTGTTCTTTAGAAAAGCCTAGCTACAGAAAATACCTTGTTCAGTCCAAAACAGAACTTCTCTTCCATTTCTCCAAAGTGTGGGTGAAGCAAAAGACCATTTCATTGCAGAGCTCCTGTTGTGTCTGGTACCTCCAAGCCCCACCTCTAGTAATGCTTGAAGTTCCACATGCAAAATCTCTATTACAAATGGCACCCATTTCAATGGACATAGACTAAGGGCCTGGGGATGAAAACACAGCCTGGAGCAGTCCCCATCTGATGGGAAACTGCAACTACTGCAGAGTTAGGGAAAGTGACATTTCAAATGTTGTCTTGGTGCTCCTGATCCAGCTGCTCCCTGAGGGATTCCCATATTAAATCAGCTCACTTAAGTCTAAATAAGTTGTTTCTGACTGTCACCACTGACTATTGCTGCCTGAAAATCAAGCTGTTTTCTCTCTACTTTATACATTACCCTCAGATATGAAGACCCCAAACTCTGAACACAATTGGCAATTCTCTTGACAATGTACAAGGTAAAATAGAAGCAGCATGTTGTTCAACTGCTTGGATCTGGAACAATGACAGCAGTTATAATTGCTAACCAGATACTATATGACTCAGAAAACGGAGGCTAAGAGATTATTAGGACCAAGATGCCAAATTTTGTCATAGGTACGTTTCCAGCCACATTTTTTTAATGTCAGAGGGAGCTAATGGTGGAGGCTGAGAAAAATATAGATATAGGTTAAATTGGCTATGCTCTGTCGGCAGGATGCAACTACACTCTCTGGGAGATGTATTCAGGTAGGAAACAGTCTCCCTTGGGGAAATTATAGGTATCTCTGCCAAGTAGTTTAGGTAGCTTAAACACCTGGGATCATGTATCCTTAAGTTAGCATTGCAATGACCTAAGAACAAAGAATGAACATTTCTGCATGAGTGAAAGGTGCCCAACTGAAAAACTTCAGGAATGGGGCACTTCGACTCCTAAAACTGCAGCCTTCCATCTTCTCCCCGGGGGGGGACCAACTCACAGAGGCAACTGGACGCAGCACTGGCCTTTCAGGACATTTGAAATGCAAATACTATTTTATTTACTTCCTGACCCTTGGCTCAAAACATCTGCAGCTCTATAAATGAAAAGCAATGACTGCTTTAGCAACTTCTTCTGCCCCTGCTTTGTTCTGCCAGGAGACAGAGGCCACACTTTGATGTCACCGTGACACAGCATGGGTGTTATGGTGACGTTTGAGAACTTCTGGTTGGGGTCCCCAAGCAGTTGATGCCATTGCCCTTCATCTTGCATCTTGTATAGCAGGATGAAGCCTGGCTGGTTGGGAAACGGCTACAGGTAGAAATTTTGGCCAAACTGGGAAAAAAAAAAAAAAATTTAGAATGGTGCCTTCTTCAGCACTGGCATCCCAGGTTTCTGTTCCAGATGAGCCAATTGAGTCAGCAGTCTCAACTTCTGTCCCCTTGAATATGACGTAGAAGATCAGCTAGTGATGCTGCCTTAACCTCTACAATGGAAGAAATGGCTTTTCAATGTTTGCGTCGTGAACCCTGGACCATAAGCATATGGTTTAATTTTTCAGAGGAGAGCTCTGGCAAAGCCAATGACTTTTCATCCTGCTCTTTCCTGAAAAAAACTGAAAATTTTTGGAAGCAATTGGTTTCAGTCAGTTTGGTGGGGTGATGCTGGAAACTGTGTAGTGATTGCTGACAAAATGGAAGCGCTGGGAAGGAGAGGACCTCTGCAAATTTTTGAAATCGATTCCACAAGAACTTTCATGGATTCAGCAAAATGGAAGGGGATTCTCCAACACCTGCCTCACCTGACAAAATTCAAGCACTAGCAGCAGGTTCTGCTTTTGGCAAGGTACATCAGTCTCTTTGCACATGAAATAACTCTCAGGATATTAGAGTAGGATAGATGTTCTTCCCACACTGTGGTGCCTCAAAATTGGTGGCATTTGGGTTTCTAAGTCTGTTTGTATGCTTTTGAAATCCTACGCTTCTCTGCTGCTCCCAAATGGCAAAAACACCAGGATGGTTAGTACTTAACAGAACTGTATCATAACATTTTATTCCAGTTTATTCATCTTTAAAATGCCCCTGAGAGTCCTTTCTAATATCCATGTTTGTCTTTTGTAAGTCTAATGCTTAGTTACCATATATTTGTCTTTCTCAGTTTGGAAATGGTGGCAACTAACTCATCTCCTTTGCATTTTTTAGTTGCTATTCTACTATAACCCCTGTTTCAAGAGAGATTATCCCCACCTGCTACAAACCTGTAAGCAGAGTGCTGGTGTAAAAAACGCAGCACCAGCTGCATTCTCACTGGACCTGGATTTGAAGAAAGGCTGCCTGAGGAGAAGCCCAGATGTTCAGCCAGCAGTACGAGCTGCTTCTGCAGAGAAGAATGATCCCTTCGTAGCAGCTCCACAGAGAACACCCAGACATCTGCACCCAGCGCCTCCACACCTACCAAATGATGTGATAAAGCATCGACCCAGACTGGAAGTGCCTGTACCTCTGCATACACAATTATTCAGATGCTTTCAGGCCCTGCTGCAGCAGTGGGTAGTGAAAAGTTGAAGCCTCAGGCTCTATCCCTATCACCACAACACTGCAGCCACCGCCCTGTTGGTGTCCAGGCTGCAGCTTCTGCTCTATGTGATACCTCACCACATCACATTCCTTTTACACCAGGGCTGGGGCTTCCCACCTTTCCATTTGGGCATCCATATTCAGCAGCTATGCAGGCTCCCTGGGCTAGCCTGCTTCCCTTCTGGGACCCACGGCTTTCAATGTCCATGCTGGCAGCAGCCACCGCTGCTGCTATGCCAAGGCCACCACGCTGCCAAGCTCCAGCATGCCCTCGTTGCCCTGCTTGCATCTGCCGTCCAAATAAATCTTTTCTAGTTGTCTTGTCCTGTTTGTACAGTTTCACAGTTACTGTCTCTACACCCCGGGGTGTTGCCTGCAGGGAGATGAACTGGTTTGCTCCAGCCCAGGGAAGCCAAAGGCCCCAGGCACTAGTGGTACCCTCAGCAAAACACAGCAAAAGGGCAGCACGTGGCTAATCCAGTAGCTGCACCAGCAGCAAATGGTACACAGCAGTGCTATTCAGCACAGTCGGACCATAGAAAGATTACCTAAATTAGGTCCTAGGATAAAAGAGCTGAGTATGTGATTCCACCTCCCAATTTAAACATCCATATACCAGATGATGACAACTGCCTATTAAACTGCAACTGGGAATCAGCAGACAAATGTATTTCATCTAATGCCTTGTCCCAATTACTTTAAAATAGGTATTGCTGAGTCAGTAGCTTAGATTACAGAAATCAGAGATCTTTAATAGAATTTGGCAGCTTTTCAGGTTTGCACAAAGACCTCTAGAAGCAGATCAAAGTGGGAACACTAGTTCTAGTAAGGTTCACAGGTGGAAACAAACTTCCTACAAAAATGTACCCAGTGAAATCATTAATGTTATAGAGGTTATCTTCCCTCCACACATCCCACAGCAAGGATCCCTCCTTACAGTGTTGCACTCCCAGTGTTCCCCTTGGGGTCTACTTCCCTGCTTAGCACACATTGCCTTCCCCAAGGTGAAGGCCTTTAGCCCCTGGCCATCAGCACTCCCATTCAGCAGCAGGACTACAAAACACCCCAGCTGGAGTAACTCACAGTTGGCCTCTTCCATTGTATTTGCCACAGTTTATCCGCTGGGAGCAGGTTGGGACCAATGGAACTGACGTAAGCGGGGAAGGTGGCATCCTCAAAAAGCAGTCCTTGGCTCAGGCACAAGGCTCGCAGCTGGTTGAAGTCCTGGTTATTAAATTTCTTCAGGTTCTGGAGGCTTCCTCTTGCCCCTCTTGTTTGCCAGCCCTGCTCCAACATCAGAGCAGAGCTGGGGGCAAGCATTGTGTCCCTTTCCTGTGAAGGAGAGACATGGGCTGCCATTAGTTTCTCAATCCGAAGTGGTACCTTAGGAGTGTGTGGGAAAGCAAACACCTCTCCCCTGCCCCAAGAGGATTGTGGAGCAGCAGCTTGCAAAGCTGAGGGCAGTCACAGTGACAAAATCCTTATTAGCTGGAAATGCCTGGGGAAAGGGTAGTCATCAAATCCCAACTGGTTTATCTTAAACCAGTGCTGTCACTGCTACAGATTCAATTTTGAGTCTTCCCTGAGGACAGAGAGCAAAGCTGTTAGCGAGCCGCTGTGTTAGCATTGAGGTACATCTGCAACATAAGTGAGCGTAGGGGATGGAGCAGGAGCAGCAGACCCAGGGGAGGAGGGAGGTGGTGCGAGCAGGGAGACTGCTCAGAATATCCATGGCCAGAAGAGTCCTGGGTCACAACTGTGCCCAGGGCATTTCTCAAGTTATTTCATTTCCACAAGTGAGCGCTTGACAGTCACTCCCTGCGAGACGTAAAGAAGGCAGAGGCTTGCCTTTCCTTGGGACCTGCTCCAAAGACCCCAGACAGATTAGGGGGTGGCTTCCTACCAGCTTACACAGACACTCCACCAGACTCCCTAAAGCTACAGTGCTGAGATGGGACCAAGCTGCAACATCCAGGCCTGGATCCCACCTGCACTACTTGCTCACATGAGTGCGCACCAAAGTCTGGGGTTTTTGGACTCAGTCGTTCATTTGGAGGCCAGTGTTTAAGCAGATCTGAACAGCAGATTCATATTTAAACTGGGCAGTCACTGTGTGCCATCTGTACCTATTCCAGTCTGGAGCATGTTTGAACCCCTCTTTGTTAATATGTCTAAAGGAAAGGGGCAATTCACCTAGGAAAAATGAGTATTTCATACATGCAGTGAAACCGTAGAATGGACAGACCTGCTAATACATCTGCTGGCACAGCTAGGGAAGGATGCAGGAGATAAAATCTCCCGTTGTGGAGTCTGTCCCCTTTACGGTCAAAGAGCACAGCAGGACTCTTGCCACCAAAGATCTGCTTTTTCTCCAAAGGGAGTCAGTGCATCATCCATGGAGACGCTGGATTGTGGGGTGGACTTTTGGGACATGAGTGGGAGAAGGCCACAGGAAGGTGGAAAACTTGCATGTTTGGACAGGTAGTGGCACCAGAGCTTTAAAAGAGCAATTTGTTCTGTCTAACCAGAGTAGGGGCTTTCAGGTGCACTCCCCAGAGCCACGTGAATGTACAGAGACACACATGTGTGCACCATCCCCTGGGGATCTTCCTTCAGCTTAAAAGCTCTGTTGTGGATTTCAGAGTTCAGAGACATAGCAGGACGTTTGTGGAGCCTGCCTTGCCTCCTGGCTCCTCCAGCACCTTTTGTCGTGCAAAATTACATATTGCTGGATCAAAATATAACTCAAGGTCCATGCCAGTTTTCACCGTTCGTTCACACTTGCCCTCACAAAAACAAATTTTTAACTGTCCTGAGCTATAATTCCCCTTTTGTTCCATTCCTTATGAAACAAGAAGCCCCTGGTGAAGCCCTGCATTAGCAGACTTCTAAGGGCAAGAAGGATCACTGTGATCACCTCCTCTGGCTTTTTGCATGACAGATGCCACTGCACTGGATCCAGCGATTCCTGCCCCTAGCTCCTGTCTTCCACTTAAGATGTACCTCCACTTAAGATGTACCTTCTCATAAATTAGCACTAGAAAAATCCACCACAAGCCTGGGCAAGCCACTCCTACAGTTAATTAACTTTGCTGTGCTAATTTCTAGCCTGAAGTCCCTTCGTTTCACTTTCAAGCCACTGGATGCCATAGCGCTTTTTTTTTTTTTTTTTTTTTTTTTTTTTTAAGTAGATGAAAGTGCTTTTTCCTACCAAACTTATCTGTAGATCTGATATGTTCCTGGTTCGGTAAAAAGAGAGCAGATGGCTCCAGTAAGAGAAAACCCTCAGATTTTTATTGTGAATCACTCACACATGTGAAAAACACAGACCAGTCACACTGAGGGTGTGATACAACCCCCTCCCCACACACGCACACACTTTTTACTCAGTGTCATCACCTTTCTCAGTGCTTCAAGTCACTTGGCCTTCTGGCATTGTAACAACAGCCTGGAAAAATAAGGAGTTTTACATCTCATTGTTTTAATTAAAAGCCCCACCAAAAAAAAAATAAAAAAAAAAATCAGATGGAATTCAGAAATCACCCTCAGCCAACAAGAAGAGAGAACATTCCCCTTGGGCTTGCATTTTTTAATACAATGGAAATAAATCTCATGTAATGTACCATAACATGACAAGGGAATGGCTTCTTCTTAACAAATACTCATTTGAAACTGTGCCCAGGCCCCATGCATGCTAAGATCTATTTCTTGCAACAGTGTTCCAGCAAAACTGATTACTAATTCCAAAACTCAAATTAAAACTAACAGAGCTTGAAGGCTGGGTCTGACACGCGTTCCCTCTCTTCTGACAGAGAACAAGAGTTTTTAGCATGTGTGTGTGTGTTTAATTATGTTGTTTAACATATCCGGAATAAATTAGAAACGAGACTGAAGAAAATAATACACTTAACTACTTTTCCCTTGCAGGAATAACTTCACCAGCATTGGCTCTGGTGGCACACATGCACAGATACATGATCTCTACACCCGTCCACGCCGCTGTGCAGGCAGCCCATGGGGTGCACACACTGGGCTAGCACCGTCCTGTCCGTACCGGCACGCTCTGCCGGCCACCTCTTTCAGAGCAGCGTCCTGAGGGCTGGCCACAGGTTGGCTCTCACGGATGCATCAGGAAAGATGACAACAGCTTTTAAAGCAGAATATTGCCTGCCTGATTGGGGAGCTTCTTGCCGTTACTGAACTCTGAGGCAGAAAGATTTTAAAGGGACAAAGTTATAATGCAATGGGTCTCAGAGGCGTTGCCCTTGGACTGCTCCCTGCCGTGTGATGTGGGGAAAGAGGAGGGATTTCAAACACTCACAAAAGCTGGTTCAGACATATTGTGAAACACTAGAGAAAAACAAGAGACTGACTCTCAACTAAGGAAATTATTATTCAGAAGGGGTTAAACATACATTTACTTAGTCCTGGGACCTCCTCCAACACACTTACTTATCTGAAATGGAGAAAGGAATCACGCCCAACTTTGCAACTACTGCTCTTTTTTGGTCCCTCTTCCTTCTCAGCAGAGAGATCCTTCCTGCTCTCTGTCTCAGAGAGAGGGTCAAATGACAAAGTGTGAGGGAGGGAAGGGGAGCAGTGGGAAAACTACAGAGACAAGGAGAAAAAGATTGGGTGTGACAGTTGGAAGGGATGGGAAGGAAAGGGGAGTCTCGGAGGATATCAGAGCAAAAATGGTGGTGACCCCTGCAGAAACAAACCTGGGAACCCCAAGCACCCAATATATGCTGCATTAAACAGCTTAAAAGCCAGCAGCAAAGGGTGTGTCTCATCTCCCTCCAGCATTCATTCACGAAAGCTGTCAAGCAACTATTATAATCAGGTACTCAATGGTGGCAAATGCTACTGACAGCTAATTACACTTTGCATAAAGATTTATGTCAGAGTACAGACATAATTTCTTTCAATGGCTTCTGATATTTTTCACTGAGTAGAAAGTGGAAATAGGCAATTAGAACCGTGTCTACTTCATAGCTCAGCTATCCACCTTCTCCTCTCCACCGATTTTCTCAAAACATTTCCATTACATGTTGGCTCAGCTGGGTTTCTGTACTTTAGGAAGAGCAGCTGAATTTTCTCAAACACTACAAAGAATACCAGAAAAGCAAAAAAGCCAGCAGCCCTTCTTCCCCTGTTTCCTCTCAAACACTCCAAACTATCAATGTACATGTCATCTCACCCATAATATTCAATATATGCTACAGTAACACAGCACTCTTTCCTTCTAAGAACCTGTCATTCACATATTTGGAGCACTGTAAAAACTTCAGGGAGTCAGTTCCAGAATTGTCTTATAATGAAGGGAAGAATGAGTTTATTAGCTCTCCTTGCATTCAGAGAAAAAACAGATGAGAGTGTACTGCTTTTCAGCAGCTTGCCCACAGTAACAGCAAACTGCAGACGCAGTGGAGGAACCTGAACTTGGGCATCCCAAACCCCAGACAGACAACAGCTCCTTGTACATACAACGTGTGAAAGCCTTGAGTACCTCAGAAAATCAAAACCAAAGCCAGCACTCTGGCAACCCTCCAGGAGATGACTTTCCCAGTGGCATCTTGCATGACCTTCTGCTCCAAACAGTCAGTGAAGTACTCCCTTCTGGCTATTTATTAAGTCAATTTTCTCATCATTTTGCATACATAGCATAGGACAGTTCCAGATACCTTTTTTCTACTTCATTTAACAGCAGCATACAGTAACTATAGAGTCCTCCTCATCTTAGAATCTCCACTCCCACTTGATCCAATTACTTCTGACAACTTACCGTTTTACTGTGAGGCTCTTTCCGGGATGGCAAACTCATCTTTTCTTTCCCTCCAGGTAACATTAAGGACAGGGACTCTAATTTATTCTGTCTCTCCCAGAAAAATCCCTCTCAGTGTGTCTGTGGTGCTTTTCCAGCACTACTACTTGTATTTCACCTGCTTGATCTTGTACTAAGTAAAACAGCAAAGTCATGTTTTACCTGCAGTGCCTCCGGTGTAACTCTCCATCCAACACCAACAGAAAGAACAGACAGGCTGGCACTATCCCCATTCTCCTTTATAGGGCAGCTTTTGCCACGCCTTAAGTAAACGTAACCAAGTTGAAGTCAACTTCAAAGCCAAAAGCAAGCAATCTGACTCAGGTGTAATAGTTTCATACAAATACCATACTGTGGAGATAGATATATATATACTTCTATTAGCCATCAACAATGAATTGTCTATCAACCTATGATGTCAGTTGATAGTTTCCTGTGGCTAACTGTGGCTTCAGTCGCCGTTATTCTTACAAGAAAACAGGATTAGTTTGCACCT